GAGTTGCACCCCCCCCTCTTGGACACCCCCCTCTTTGCCGCTCCCGACGAGATGGGAACATTGAAACCTCTGTTGTTGTTTGGTTTTCAAAATGGGAGAAGAACTGCCGTGACCTGGGTTTCACGTTTCCTGTTGCTCGGGGGCTAGGGTCTCTTTGGTGTTCGTTTGGTTTTGGTGGAGTTTTTCATTTTTGTGGTTTCTGGCATCCTCCGCGCCCAGCTGGGCCTCTCCCCGGGGGGGCGGGAGGGGGGGGGCGCCGGGGGGGGCGCCGAATGGAGAAAATCAACGCAATCAAGTCAACCACAAGGACAACCAGGAACATCAAAGCCCCCGCGGAACACAAATCACCGAAGCCCAAATCCAGTGCATTCTCGGAAGGGAAACGCTGAACACACGTAGGTTTTGCTTTTGCTTCTCAATGAAAACCAGCCCTGGCCTGGGCTTCGTTGTTTGTTTTGTGCGTCAGGTGGCTCTGGTTTTCCTGGTGTTCGTTTTGCTTTGGTTGGTTTTCTGGTTTCTTGTTCAATTCTGGCGCCGCCCCGCGCCCGGCTGGGGCGTCTGCCTGGGGTGGGGGGGTGGGATCGGGGTTCTGCTCAATTCTTTTCAGGCCCTATTTCGATCTGAATCGGATTCCAATCGGCATCAGCTTCATCTGGGATCTGGTCACTTCCTATTCGATCTTAGTTCTATGCCACTAGGGAAATCAACTAGGTCTGGTGCATGGTTCCATCCTAACCCGATTCAATTTAGATTCCACGATGCTTGCATTTGGAATCACTTGGATCTGGGATCTTCTCAAGTCCGACAGGAACAACATTGAACACATTTGAACATGGGAGATGCACTATGTCAAGTACATTCGAATTCAAGTCCACTATTAATCAAACAATTTTTCAGCTTGATCTTGGATCTGCATTGTTCGAATTCGAGTCGAATTATATTCCAATCGGAATTGTATTGGAACCAGCTCGATCTGTGATCTGCTCAATTCCAATTCGAGTCTCTTTCGTTCCCAATGTAGTCGAATTGCAATCAGCTGGGTCTGGGGTCTGCCCTATTCAATGTAATTCTCATAGGATTCCAGTAAGCCTACGAGCGGAATCGGCGGGATCTGGGATCTGCACCATTCCAATTCGATTATAATCAGATTCCAACAGAAATCCAATCGGAATCAACTGGCTCTGGGTCTGCCCAATTCGAAGTACATTCCAATCAGAACCCAGTGGGAATCGAATTGGAAGTAGTTGGATCTGGGATCTGCCCAACTCCCAAGCGATTCGATCTGGAGTCCGATAGGGATCGAGTTGGACTCCGCTGGATCCGTGATCTGCTCAATTCCATTATGATTATGATTCGATCCCACTGGGAATTCAATCGGAACCAGGTGGATCTTGGCGTGGCGCCCATCAGGAACCAAGCTCACTCTTTTGCCACGAGCGGCAGAGCACGAGCGAGAGCACATGGGCTCGAGATCTGCTCCTGGCTCTTCCGAGGAGCAGCTCGGTTCTCGCGCGCGCTCCGCCCAGTTGGCCTACAGTGCCGTTGTTTATACATGCTCCGCGTGCGGATCATGTATTTTAAATGCAGGGTTGTTAATACTAAAAACAAGGATGAGTTCATGCATAAATCTATTCATGAATTAATCATGCATCAAAAGTCATAGATGTGCTAACATCCAATGTATTAAAAACTGCCCTGTGCTGGCACGTGGTGCGGGGCTGATTTCCAAAGACAGGGGACATGTTTTCGCGCACGTGGCCCAAATCGTGCGGCGCGTGGAGCCGGGTGCGCAAAGACGGCGCAGGAGGTTTGCTCTGCGCATTGGTTGAGGCTGACGTGCCCTGATTCGTATGACCAGCATGCGCGCGCCGTAACCAGCAGCGCTCGTCCTGAGCAGAACAAATGTTCCAAGGTAGATCTCTGGGGGAGCCTAGCATATGTACATATATAGGGAGAGAAGAGATAACGAGAGAGAGAGAGAGGACAAACAAAAGACAGACAACAACAAGAGAAATGAACAGATAGAGAGAGAGAGAGAGAGAGAGAAAAAAAAAAAAAAAAAAAAAAAAAAAACGAAAGCGAAAGATGCGTGCCGGCCCTGCGCCCCCAGCATCAGCACACAGTAGCTCTTGCGCGCCCTCCTGCCTCCCGCACGTGTTGCTCTTCGGCACCGCCTGCACCCCTGGGCCCCGCCCACTCCGGCCGCCTGAGGCCCCGCCCGCCTGTGCCCTGTCTCCCTGGGTAAAGCTGTGCGTAGCCCGCCTAGCTTTTAGCGGAAGAGGTTCGCTTAACGGGCGAAGAACGGTGTAACATATATTTTTTTCCCCGTCGGGGACACCTGCCCCAGGGCGGCTGGAAAGTTTATACCCTTACGGTGGCACCGTAGGGGTATGAATTTACCAGCCGCCCAGAAGCAGGTGTCCCCGACGGCGAAAAAGTTTATGTTATACCGTTCTTCGCCCGTTCATTCGCTCTCGCCCCGCCGACCAAAACCGTCTCCCGCACGTGACCCCCCTGTGCGCTCCGCGCGGAGACGACGCTCCGGCCGGGCGCCGCCCTCCGGGCGCCGAGGCCCCGCCGCCCCCCGCGAGGGGCCTCCTGCGGCGCCTTCGCGCCGCGTCCTCGCGCCTTCGGAGGGCTCCGCCGCGCGCGGCACGCCGACCGACGCCGAGATCCGCCCGGAGGGGCCCAGTAAAACAGGGCTAGGATCGGGATAGATCGCTCCAGAGCGTTCCGGAGCGCTCTCAGAGCGTTCCGGAACGCTCTGGAGCGGCCGCGGCGCCCAATACATCCTCCAAACCCGCCGATTCTCAGAGATTTCGAGTTATCCCGATCCGATTTTGTCCCGATCTTCGCGTCGTTTTACCCAGTGCCCCGGAGATCCGACGACGCGACTGCGCCGCTTTCGCGCTCGGAGGGCTCCGCCGCGCGCGGCACGTCGCGACCGACGCTGAGATCCGCCCGGAGGGGCCCAGTGCCCCGGAGATCCGACGACGCGGAAAAGTCGGTGGCGGAAAGGAGGGGGGTGATGACTAGGGGGGGTGGACATCATGGCGTGGGCCATCAATGATATTTCCCCAGATTTCCTGGCGCCTCGTCTTGTTTCATTACGTTCCTGGCCCCCCCGCTGGGCCGCGCACGTGCCGCCGGTCATGAGTTGCACCCCCCCCTCTTGGACACCCCCCTCTCGGCCGCTCCCGAACAAGTTGCAGCCTCATGAAACGTCACGGCCGGAGCCCCAGAACCCCCCTCTCGGCCGCCCACGCGCAGAGGGGGGGAAGGGGGAAGGGGGGGAGGGCTTCTCAGAAGCGCCCCTGCTCCTTCGAGGGCGCGGGCCTGATCTGCAGATGGAAGGCCAGCGCCTTCTGAGAAGCAGGCTCCTTCTAAGGAGCCCTCCCTCCTCCCCCCACCCCCTACAAGAAGCTATACAACTAGTTGCAGCCTAGTCAGGGAAAGCTGTGTTCCAACATCGTTGCTACTAGCTTAGGGGAACCTGCACCAAAGTTGCAACGGCATGGTCGCGGAAGTGAGAAGCAGGCTCCTTCTGAGAAGCCCTTCCCCCCTCCCCCCAACCCCCTTGTGCGCGCCGCCGACCCTCTCTCTGCGGAGTCTTTCAGGTCGGGTCGATCCGTGAGGAGCCCGGTGCCCGAAGTTGAGCGAGAACGTTCAGTTCGAAGACGCAGCGACGCCATCCTCCTCCTCCTCCTCCTCCTCCTCCTCCTCCTCCTCCTCCTCCTCCTAGGATCTCAGGGGTGGCCCCTGGGCCCTTCGCGCGGAGAAGGCGCGGCTTAGCTCAACCCAGACACCATCGCCAGTCACCCTGGAATGCTCCGTGAGGCCCTTGGGCACTTCGCGCGGGGGGGGCCTTGACGTCCTCCGCCATCCTTGTTGCTCATGAGTAATTCCTCCCTGTCGCGCCCCCAAGCGTGTCGGCAGGACGGTTTCTCACCATGTCTGATCCAGCAGCTCGGAGCCTGCAGCAGTTTCACAGATGAAGGGCGGGTCGTTTTCAAATATGGTTCTCGCCTTCGCGCCTCGCATTTTCGTGTCCAAAGCTTGCAACCATTTCACATATTGGCGGCGGGTCGTCTTCACAATATTATGGTTCTGGCGTCAGAGCCGCGCACATATATGTTAAAAGTGCGCCGCAGCTTCACGAATGGATGGTGGTTCCTTTTCAAAGTGATGTTCTCGCTTAAACGCCACGTTCCTTTGTGTTCACAGCTTGCCACAGAGTCGAGAATTCGTATGTTAGTCCCAGGAACGGTGTTCTGGCGAATTCAAGGTTGTCAGGACGGAACAATCACGTTCGTTCGCGGCGTTGAAGTCCCATGAACGGTGTTCTGGCACGTTTCAGGATCGTCAGGATTCAACAGTCACGTATTCACGTTCATGCGCGGCTTTGAGTCCCTTGAATGGGGATCGGGCGCGCTTCATTATCGCCAGGCGCAACAGTAATGTTGACTCCCAGCGTTGAAGTCCCAGGATTCGTGATTGAGGATAAGACACCTCGGCTGTCTTCCAACGGGCCACACCCCGCAGTGAACGTGAGTTCTTGTAGGGACATGCGGTGGAGACAGGGTTCACTGAACAATCGGTGCTGCGTCTGGGGTCTACACTGGTCCTGCTGCCTCCTCCCTCCTCCCTGGGCCCTTCGCAGGGGGCAGGCTCGGCCGGGCTCGGCACTTCGAGCGCCGTTGCCTAGTCGCCCTCGGACGGGGCCGGCACGAGGGTAAAGCCGTTCCAGACCGTTCCGGAAGGGTCTCAGAGCGCTCCAGAACGCCTGAGGAGGCCGCGGCGCCCGAGACGTCCTCCAGAGCCGCCGGATGCGAGAGGTTCTCGACTTCTCCTCGCCCGAGCTGGTTGTCGTCCCGGCTTCGTCTGGCGCCCCCAGGCAGGAGGAGGAGGAGGAGGAGGAGGAGGAGGAGGAGGAGGAGGAAGTGGAGGAGGAGGAGGAGGAGGAGGAGGAGGAGGGGGAGGGGGAGGAGAAGGAGGCTGAGGCCGTCGAGGCGCCCCCATGGCAGCCGCTGGCTCGCCTCGCAAAGGGCGGCCGCCGGGCTCCGCCGCGGGCCATGGCCGCCGCGCCCGCGGGCGCCGGGGCCTGCCGCTCGCGGGGGCGGCGCGGGCCCTCCGCGGGGCAGCGCCGCCCGCGGGCCGCGGCGGTGCCCCCGGGGGTCAGGAGGGAAAAAAACACACAGACACAATCGTTCGGCGATTCCCAGAAAATATGCGAAAATATGGGAAGTGGGGGGGAACACAGAAACCCAGAACATATGGGAAAATATCGGGGATATGTTTATTTGTGCGTATTTATTTGTGTGACCCAGTTCCCCTTCAGGGGGCGGGGACAGGTCGGTCAGGGGCAGCGCTATCGGGGGCGGAAAAGAGGGGGGTGATGGGCATGTCTTTGGGGATTCTGGGGACGTCTTGAGACTTGGGCGGTCTTGGGGCATTCTCTGGCAGCCTGGGAGGCATCTGGGTCCACATTGGCGGCCTTGGTTGCCTCGGCCGTCTGGGAAGCTGTTCGGAGGCCCGGATCCTCAGTTGTGGTTCGCCCACGCCGCAGATGTCGGGGGCGGCCAAGAGGGGGGTGATGACTAGGGGGGGGGATTTCATGGCGCGGGCCAGGATTTTTCCTCAGATTTGAGGGCGCCTCTTCTTATGTCATTACGTCCCAGGCCCCCCCGCTGGGCCGCGCACATGTCGCCGGTCATGATTTGCACCCCCCCCTCTTGGACACCCCCCCCTTGGCCGCTCCCGAGGTCAGGGGCAGCGCTAGCTAGGGGAACAAAAAGGCACATAGACATACAAAAAACTCGGAGGTCCGCGCGGATTTCTCGGATCGGCGCTGGGCCCCCCTCCCTGGCGCGCGGAGCGCGGAGGCGCCAGAGGCCCCGCCGGGGGTCCCCAGCGCCGATCCGAGAAATCTGCGCGGACCTCCGAGCTTCTTTTTTTTGTTTTGTGTAATTTGTTGTTTTCCCTAGCTAGGGTCATGTCGGGCCTGTCCCTCACATGAGGGATCTATATATATATATATATATATATATATATATATATATATATATATATATATCGAAATCGTATAAAACATGTTGTGGGGACGATTTGGTCTGAGTATATTTGAGAATGTGATGGGTAAGTGTTCGAGTGTGTTTAATGTTTCGCCCCAAATCCGCCTGCAGGGGGACAGGCCCGACATAAGAACAGAGTGGTCAGGGGCAGCGCTGGAGGTTCTCGAGATTTTGTTGTAAACCAAGCCCTCCCAGACCCAGCCAGGTTCCGCCCCCCAGGGTGTGCAAGAGCCGCGCCCCGAGAAGGGAATCTCGTGTACACCAGAGCCGCGACCAGGACCCTCGCTCCCCCCCCCTGGGGTTCCCTGGGTATAGTATGTAACTGTTTCGGGCGGAAGGGGGGGACACGCCTTAGTGGGCCCTGAAACCGACAGGGCCGTTTTTGTTACCGGTTCCGTTTTGCCGTTTCTTTTGTTGCCGGTTCCGACGCCTTTTTTTTACCGGTTCCGTCGCCGTTTTTTTATGAGTTCCCGCTCCGGCTCCAATCCTGAAGCCGTTTCTGCTGCCGTTTCCGGTCGCCGTTTTTTTGCCGTTTCCACTTTCAAGGGACATTTTTTCGGAAACGGTGACAAAACGGCCCCGCCGTTTCCGGGGCCCACGGAAACGGGCGGAAGGAGGAGGAGGAGGAGGAGGAGGAGGAGGAGGAGGAGAGAGGAGGAGGGGGGAGGCGGAGGAGGAGGAGGAGGAGGAGGAGGAGGAGGAGGAGGACGACGAGGAGGAGGAGGAGGAGGAGGAGGAGGAGGAGGGGGAGGCGGAGGCGGAGGAGGAGGAGGGGGGGAGGAGGAGGGAGGAGGAGGAGGAGGAGGAGGAGGAGGAGGAGGAGGAGGAGGAGGGGGAGGAGGAGGAGGAGGAGGAGGAGGAGGAGGAGGAGGAGGACGGAGGGAGGAGGAGGAGGAGGAGGAGGAGGGGGAGGCGGAGGAGGAGGAGGAGGAGGAGGAGGAGGAGGAGGAGGAGGAGGACGACGAGGGGAGGGAGGAGGAGGAGGAGGAGGGGAGGCGGAGGCGGAGGCGGAGGAGGGGGAGGAGGAGGAGGAGGAGGAGAGGAGGAGGAGGAGGAGGAGGAGGAGGAGGAGGAGGAGGAGGAGGGAGGAGGAGGAGGAGGAGGAGGAGGAGGAGGAGGAGGAGGACGAGGAGGGTCGTCAGGGAGCACGGTCCGAGGGGGGGGACGGGCTCGGCGGGGGACGCCCCGGGCCCCACTCGCCCACGGGTCGCCGAGTGCGGGGGGGCCCCGAGGGCCCCACGCCGCCCGGGAGCGCGCGCGCGGGTCTGCTCTCCGGGGGGGCCCACCGCCGACCTGGCTTGGCGGCGCGCAGAGGGGGGGAAGGCTTCTTCGAAGCACCCCTGCTTCTTAGAAGGCGCGGGCCTTGTCTACAAATTCGGTTGCGGAAAAGAGGGGGGTGATGACTAGGGGGGGGTGGATTTCATGGCGCGGGCCATGATTTTTCCTCAGATTTCATGGCGCCTCTTCTTATTTCATTACGTCCCAGGCCCCCCCGCTGGGCCGCGCACATGCCGCCGGGCATGATTTGCACTCCCCCCTCTTGGACCCCCCCCTCTTTGCCGCTCCCGACAAATGTAAGGCCGGCGCCTTGTAAGAAGCAGCCTCCTTCTAAGAAGCCTTCCCCCCTCCCCCTACCCCCCTCTGCGCGCCGCCGACTGGCGGCGGCGGTGCTCCGAGGGGGCGCGCTTCGGCGGCGGAGTTCTGCCCTCCAAGGGCGCCCTCGAGGGCGCGCAGTGATTCGCGCGTCGCAGCTCGGCTCCGATGCCTCCTCCCCCTCTTCTCCCCTGGGAGGCGGCGCGAGAGCGCGAAGTTTCGGCGCTGGAGTTCTTTCTTTCGGGTATAGCCAGGACCCCGGGCAAGGGGACCCGGTTAGTGGTATAGGGCCCCGGGGCCCTTCAATTGGCCAGATTCATTAGGCCAGGCTTGCCGTAACTGGTGTGTTTCGGGTGCCCGCAGTTCCGGTCAGCGGAAATGGGACGGGGGACGCCCCCGGTACAGATCACTAAACCAGGTTCCATTAAACCCAGTTCTGCCAACGCCCGATTCTTTCGCTGAGCCTATAAAACTCACCACCTACCAAACCACCCCAACCCAACCCGAAGGCCTCAATTTGCCCTCCAGTGGGGGGGGGTCGGGGAGCGTTGAAAAATCACATGGAGGCCGTTCCCCCCCAAACCCGAAGTTGGGGTCAAATTCGGGTCTTCGGGTTGGGTTAGGGGTGGTCTGGTAGGTAGTCAAAAAAGATCAGTGTTGGCCGATTGAACCTGTCACGAATGAAGTGCAGAGCAGCGTGGGCAACGGAGTGGAGAGCTGACGAAGGCAAAGCTTGTGCTAGAATCTGGGGTCTGTGGAAAGGCGTTGGAGTGATGATGTTCCAACCTACTTCAGCCTCGGTTACCAGAAAGAATCTCGAGCACCACAGAAGTACCGAAAATCCATGGTTTTCACGTGTCGGGCCCTGGGAGGCACTCGTCCGACCCTGTTCCGACTTTCTCTCGACACTTCTCCAGGTGCTCGAAGCTATTTCTGGGACGTGGCCCTGAAGTGCGATGGGGACAACGCAACGTTGGAGCCGATTGGGGACCTGAGGCACCCCAGCACTGTCTCCTGCGAGCAGGGAGGCGGGGGTGAGGTCCGAGATCCTGGGTTCGGGGAGCTGGTTTTGCTTGACCGGGGGGAAAGGGTTCGGCGCTGGGCCTCCCGGCGCCTGTGGCGCCGTCGCTGGCCGCTGTGCGTATCGGAGGGGAGCAGGCCCAGCGCCAAACCGAAGAGGTCCGCGCGGACCTGCGGAAGGTTGGTGCCTATCGAGTCCCCCGTGCTTCTCCAGAAGCGGCACCACCACCGGCAGCGGGCAACCTCCCGCGCGAAGGCTCGAGGGGCCTCCGCGAGCCTGGGACGACCAGAGAGGTCGCGGGTGGAGCGCCGCAACTGAAGAGTCAGGACAGCCAAGCTGCCTCGCATCGCCTTGCGCCTTCGCTCGGCCTGTCTCCCAGGGCTGGACCTAAACGGTGTTTTTGTTGATTTCGTGGGCCGTTTTCGTTTCGAGTTCGTTTTGCGGTAAAGGTGGATTCGAGACAAAAGCGAGGGAGACCGGAAACAAAACGAACACGAAAAACACCGTTTAGGTTCAGCCCTGTAGTCTCCCCGAAAACATCCAACAGCCATGAGTGGCCGTTGCGCCTCCTGGCGCACGGCGATGGGTTCATTTCGGTACACCCGCGGGAGGACATCGGGATGACCCTCCCTGGCTCCTCGCGGTGCCGCCATGGAGGAAAGGCGTCCTCGGGGAAGGCAGTTGACGCCAGACGTAAGTCGGGCCCGTCCCTCTACAGGAGGACTAGTCAAAAATATGAAAAAATAGTCTGGGGACGACTTTCCGACTAGTTTTGACCATCTCTTGAGTATTTTGTTTATTATTTTTCATTTTCGTTCCAAATCCTCTTGTAGGGGGACATGCCCAACTTAACGCTAGACACCCTGGCGCTCCCCAGGACCATGTCGCACTTCGTCATATTGACTTGTTTTCTGACGGCCCAAGGGCCCGTCCGAAGTCGGCGAGCAATTTGCAGGATCCTTCTCCTCCACTGGTTGCCCATTTGCTTCGTGCCAGCGCTGGTGGTAAGTGGCGCGGCTGTCTTCGGGGGGCGTGGAGCCCTGGCCAGACCGACAAGGAGGGAGATCCCCGGCGCTGATCCTGCCCGCACAGATCGCCCTCGTCCTCCTTGGTCTGGTCAGGGCTTCCCTGCTGTTCAGAGTTCGGGGCGCCGAGTGACATGATCAGAAGTCCGTAACCAGTCTGGTTCATTGCATCCAGGGGCAGTGCTACGCACATTTCGACACAAGCCCGTCGCCAGCCCAAAGATCCGACCTCGTTTTCAGGATGCGTGTGCACATCGCCCTCTTCCTCCTGGCCCAAAGGCCGTGCGGCAGCTCAGGTGGTTGCCAACGCAGGAGAAGAGCAAGAGGAGTTCGGAATGCTCCAAGCAGGAGCGAAGGCATCGTTCAAAGCCGCCCCACCGCCCTCAGTTCCTCAGCGTATGGAGAATAAGGAAGACCGCGAGCGGATGGATTGCAGTGACGTGTAGGGACTGGACTTCACGAAGCAGGGTGGCAACCGTGAGGGATGCAAGATATTGTGTGAGTCCAGTGTTGCGTGTGGGGATAATTGCGCCAAGTATTCAGTTGTTCAGATGGACATGTGCATGGATGATTGCCAGTGGTGCTTGATGAGGACGGATAACTGCAGCTGAACATGGATTGGATGACATGTGCAGCGCCGAGTCGGGAAATCCCGGCGGACCTCGGGAAGTTGATGATGATGTCGTGTGCTGTTCTCTTATACCAAATTTGGTTGATCCAGTCTAGGAGGAGGGCGAGGAAGGAGGGGGCGGTTGAGGGTGGAGAGGTGGAAGAGGAGGAGGGTGGATGAGGAGCGAGCAGGAGGGGGAGGATTCAAGAGAGTGCAAGAGAGGACGGCTGGATAAGGTGTAGGAGCGAAAGTCGATGCTTATGCGATTGTCTGGAGGGAAAAAACACACAGACACAATTAATCGTCGATTCCTTTGAAAATATTGGAAAATCTGGGAAGTGGGGGGGAAGACAAAAACCAAGAAAATATGGGAAAATATGGGGGATATGTTTATTTGTGTGTATTTTTTTGTGTGTCCTGGGGCCTCTTAAGATTGGCTTGGTCCCCCGACGATCTGCCTCCGCCCCCAGGTGCGAGGGCGATGCCGAGCACGGAGTCGAGCGGCGTGCTGGCTCGCCTGCAGGGCACCGTCGCGGAGGGGAGCGGGGAGGGGGGAGCAGCGGCAGCTCCAAGGCCACAGCACCTCCTCCTCCTCCTCCACCTCCTCCGCCTCCGCCTCCGCCTCCGCCTCCTCCGCCTCCTCCTCCTCCTCCTCCTCCTCCTCCTCCTCCTCCTCCTCCTTGCTGTCGGGGGCCCCCAGGCTTCTTTAGGAATCGCAGGCAGGGGTTCGGGCCCGGCCCCGCGCAGGAGGGGGTTGGCGGGGGAGGGGGGAAGGCTTCTCAGAAGCACCCCTGCTGCTCAGAAGGCGCTCTGGAAGTGAGACCAGCGCCTTCTAAGAAACAGCCTCCTTCTATCAGGAGCGAAAGAAGGACGTACACGCACATAAATCGAGAGTACGCGTTGCGCAAATATTCGTCTAATGCGGTCAGTCTCGCAGATCGAGGGGCCGTGTTCATGTACATAGCTGGCCGCGTACGTCCTTTCTGGGCTCCCTATTCTAGGAAGCCTTCCCCCCATCCTTCTACCCCCTTGTGCGCGTCGCCAAAAGGCGCGTGGACTAGCGAGGGTCCCGCTCCGATGCGACACATCTGCGCATTCCGTCGCGAAATCAGGCGGGCCAATGGCGCCATGTCTCGGGGGGTCCGTTCACCGATCCGTGGATGGGGTGCCCACGCGCCAGATCCACGAATCCTTACAGTCGGGGCCCTGAAGAAGGAACCCTTTTCGTTGGGGAGGGGCTCCGCGTTCCTCACGTGTTTCGCAGCTTGCCTCAGGTTGTCCTTATGTTTTCGATCGGAAATGGAAGTAGATCTTATGGACAAAAAGGGGCCTCGTTCTTTATTTAGGGGTCCTCAGGTCAAGGCCCCGACTGTAAACGGTTTGGCGACCACACCGTGTGGTGAGTTGGTGGGACTTCGGGGTCACCTCGCGATTTGGGGATCAGGGTTGTCTTTCGAGGGAGTCTCGGGCGAGTGGAGCCTCTGAGTTCCATAAACCGTGCGTTGACGGACGAGGTCGTTGTGAATGCCGAGGTCACCACGCGGTCCGTCACCGCACGATTTCGAGATCCCGAATGTTGTTCCTTCTGCGTCATCTGTCGGCATGGTAAGGAGGGGAGCAAGTCGCGGGCAGGGTGGGGGGTGAGAGGTGTTTGCTCTGGGAAGATGGCTCGCTCCCTAGTGAAAAGGGCTTATTCTCTTGGTGGAAGTGAGGAATCTCGTAAAATTATGAGCGCTCTTTCGGAAGAGCTGTTTCTCCGAGTGCGACCTCATCAGGGATCTTGAGGATCCAGTTGAAGCCGAATTTCCAAAGTTCCATGCGAATCTTTACAGGGTCAACATGGAGTTCGCACGAAAGTGCTCGAATTGCCCCGGGGGACGAACGCTCAGGATATGCTTAAACTGTATGTAGTAGTCGTAGTCGTAGTTGTAGCAGTAGCAGTAGTAGAAATAATAATAGTAGTCGCAGTCGCAGTCGTAGTTGTAGTAGTAGTAGTCGCAGTAGTCCTAGTAGTCGTAGTAGTAGTAGTTGTAGTAGTAGTAGTAGTAGTAGTAGTAGTAGTAGTAGTAGTAGTAGTAGTAGGAGTAGGAGCAGTAAACACAGTAGTGGTAGTAGTAGTAGTAGTAGTAGTACTAGTACTAGTAATTGTAGTCGTAGTAGTAGAACTAGAAGAATAAAGCATAAACGTATAAGAATACGTAGTAGTAGTCGTCGCAGCAATGGTAATAGTCGTAGTTCGTAGCAGTAGTAGTAGTAGTAGTAGTAGTAGTAGTAGTAGTAGTAGTAGTAGTAGTAGTAGTAGTAGTAGTAGTAGTAGTAGTAGTAGTAGTAGTAGTAGTAGTAGTAGTAGTCGTAGTAGTAGTAGTAGTAGTAGTAGTAGTAGTAGTAGTATTAGTAGTAGTAGTAGTAGTAGTAGTAGTAGTAGTAGTAGTAGTAGTAATAGTAGTCGCATTCGTAGTCGTAGTCGTAGTCGTAATCGAAGTAGTGGTAGTAGTAGTAGTAGTAGTATCAGGAGTAGTAGTCGCAGTAGTAGTAGTAGTAATAGTAGTGGTAGTCGTGGTAGTAGTGGTAGTCGTAAACGTAGTTGTTCGCAGGAGTAGTAGCAGTAGTAGCAGTAGTAGTAGTAGTAGTAGTAGTAGTTGTAGTAGTAGTAGCAGTAGTAGTAGTAGTAGTAGTAGGAGTAGTAGTAGTAGTGGTGGTAGTAGTAGTAGTAGGAGTAGTAGTAGTAGTCGTAGTAGTAGTAGTAGTAGTGGTAGTAGTAGAAGTAGTAGTAGTAGTAGTAGTAGTAGTAGTAGTCGTGAGAGTCATCGTAGTAAGAGTAGTCGTAGTACTTGTAGCAGTCGTAGTTGTAGTAGTAGTAGTGGTAGTGGTAGTCGTAGTCGTCGTCGTCGTCGTCGTAATCGTAGCCGTAGTCGTGGTCATCGTGGAAGTAGTAGTCGTAGGGGTGTTGGTGTTTGTGGTGTTGGGGTGCTTGGGTTGCTCGGGGTTTGGTGTTTGAGTTTTGGGGGTTGGTGTTTTGGGTTGTGGGTCTGGGGTTTGGAGTGTTGGTGTTTGGTGTTCGGGGTGCTTTGTGTGAGTGGTGTTTGCAGGTCGGTGTTTGGTGTGTGGAGTTTGGTGTTTGGGGTTTGAGTGTGTTGATGTTTGGTTTATCGTGTTCGGGTTTGGGGGTTTGAGGGTTGGGGTTCGAGGGTTGGGGTTTGGGGCTTGGTGTTTTGGGTTTGTCGTTTGGGGTTCAGGGTTTGGGGTTTGGTGTTTCGGGATCGGGTTATTTGATGTGGGGTTTGGTGTTTGGGGGATGGGGTTTGGGGTTTGCGGTGGTGGCGTTGGCGGGGTAGTGGGATCGTGTGTGTCCAATCTTTTTGTTTTCCATCGGTTGTAACGTAGGCCACCCAGAGAAAGAGCTCTTGTCTCGACGGAGAAGTTTTTCCCAGGGAAGGAATTTTACAGGTCTGGGGGGGATATGCCCAGGAAGGGTTTTCGAGCGTCTTCGCGAGTGTTCGAACGCGTCTGAAGCCCAGTGTGGTTTCCACCAGCTGCGTCTCCCGGTGCCCGAGTCGCCCCGACCGGCCGCCGGAGGCGCGAGCCAGGGCCCGAAGGCCAGGGAGCGGAAGGCCAGCTTGGCATCGCTCGGACGTGTGCATTTTTTCCTTGGGCGAGGGCCACCGAGGCGCATCCTTGATCACTTGGCGAACAAAAACCACGCACGAAGCCGACAAGAACAGGAATGAATGGGCGTCCGAGCGATGGCGATGGCGAGGGGCATCCTCGATCACTTGGCAAGCAAAGAAAAAAACACGCACGAAACCTACAGAGACACAGGGAATAAATGGGCGTCCGAGCGGTGGCGAGTCAGGGGCAACGCCTATAATAGGGGAGGACGGGCTCACAAGGGGGGGACGCCTCGGCCCCCCCGGTCGCCCCCTGGAGTCGCCGACGGAGGCTTGCCACGGCCCGCCCAGCCCAGGGGCGCGCGGCTTCGTGGTCGGGGCAGATCGCCGAGCGGCGATGTGCTGCCGAGTCCAGCTCGGTGTTCCCCCCCCCCCCCTGGCATCGCTCGGAGGTGTGCATTTTTCCTCGGCGAGGACCATCGAGGACCATCCTGGACCATCGAGCAGCAAAAACACACACGAAACCGAAGAAGGCACGCGAAATGGACGTCCGAGCGATGGCGGGCCGCCCCCCCCCCCAGAGCCGGCCCCCCCGATGGTTCCCCGGAAGGGCCTCATGTGGTTCCTGGAGGCATCTGGGGGCCTCTTCTCGACAGCAGCGGGAACGAGCGAGCACGAGACACGGACGTTCGGCGCCGCGAGACCGCAGTGAGGAGCGCGTGAAGGAGTCGCCGCCGGGGCTCCCGACCTCCCCTCGTACCCCGGTCTGAGGCTCCCGCCCTTGTCCTGGATCGAGCCGTCGGGGGCTCCACAGCCCGAAGCATGCGAAAAGGCGCCCGCGTCATGTCGTTTGTTTGTTCGCGGCGCACGGATGCCAGCGTCGGGCCAGGCGAAAGGGGGGGATTGGGAAAGAGCCTGTTTTTTGGGATTCGGGCAAGTTTACTTACATGGCGTTCGCCCCCCCCCCCCCCCCTAGCCCCTCTTCAAGCGAATACTAGCGTGCAAGTGCCTTTCGACTTGCGTGATTTCCGCGCCCCCCACCCCCCGGGCTTGCTTCAGGCTCAGCCCCCCCCCCCGTCCATGCAAGTAAACTTGCCAGAGTCTTAAAAAAAACAGGCTCAAAGGGGGGGCTACGAAAATTGCTGCATGCAACTGGTTTCGGCCTCACCGAGGGGCCCATTCCTCGATACATAGCCGCCTCCGGCGCCGGGGGGCGCCCGGAAAATCAGCTGCGCGAGCTGATTCTCCCCCCCCCCGTTGCTAGCCCCCCCTTTCGCCCGACCCGACAGCGGAGGAGGTCGAAGACCCCCCCAAACCGTGTTCCCCGGGGGGTAGCAGCCAGGCGAGGGAGCAGACCCGCAAAGCATTGGAAGCCGTGTGGCAAGTTCTTCCTCGGCCGCTCTGGTGCGTCGTGCGATCGTATGCTTCACCTGCCGTCTCCGGACCACCGGCATTCGAAAGTGGCTCCAACACGCGGCGGATATCAGGGGGAGGAGATGATCCCCCATATCGCCATCCCATTGGCATCACCATTATCACCATTATCGCCATCAGCATCCTCGTCATCATCATGGCGCGCCGTTTTTTGCGTAGAGCCTTCCAGCAACGCGGCGTCCGGTCTACCTGCTCGGGCGGGTGGGGCATCCCAGACGGGTCCACGCTGCGAGTCATGAGGTGTTGTCCTCGAGGGCGAGGCTCGGTGGCCCGGCTGCTCGCGTCGCGTGGAGCGGGTGCTGGTGGATGGAAGTTGCGATATTCCCAGACAGGTCCACGCTGCGAGTCATGAGGTGTTGCCCTCGAGGGCGAGGCTCGGTGGCCCGGCTGCTCGCGTCGCGTGGAGCGGGTGCTGGTGGATGGAAAATTGCGATGTTTCAGGAGGGAAAGAAACACACAGACACAATTAATCGTCGACTCCCCAGAAAATATGGGAAAATATGGGAAGTGGGGGGGAAGACAAAAACCCAGAAAATATGGGAAAATATGGGCAACATTTTTATTTGTGTGTATTTATTTGTGTGTCCTGGGGCCCCTTCAATGTTGGCCGCGGTGTAAGCCGCTGTGGATGCGCAGGTCCGAGCGCGTGGCCAGCAAAATGACTACCTACCAGACCACCCCGACCCAACCCGAAGACCCGAATTTGACCCGAATTTCGGGTTGGGGGGGGGGGTACGGGTTCCATGTGTTTTTGTCAACGTTCCCCGACCCCCCCCCCACTGGAAATGGAGGGCAAATTGAGGCCTTCGGGTTGGGGTGGGGGTGGTTTGGTAGGTGGTGACAAAAGGGGTACGAGTCGGAGGAGTACGTGATCGTGAAGCACTTCAGCGTGGAGGGCCATTTGGAGTGCCGCGCGCTGCTCTTCGTGCCTCGCCGGGCACCATTTGGTTTTTCCCGTCCAGGAAGAATCGCAACGACGTCAAGGTGAGTGTGCGACGCGTCTCCATCACAGACGAGTTCGGCGAGCTGATGCCCGAGGGGTTCGACTTTGTCGGGGACGTGGTTGATTATGAGGACTTGCCGCTGAACGCTTCCCGTGAGACGCTGCAGCAGAAGAGTATCGTCCGCGCGATCACAAAGAATTTCGCCACCGCGTGGGAGAGGAGTATAACGACATCTATTACATCACGGGGGAGAGTATCGCAGCGGTGAAACACTGCGCAACAACGGTCTCGACGTCATCTGATATCAATCACGCTGGGCTTCATGGGTGTACTGTGCACTTCGCATTACGTGAGCGGCTCCTTGAGTTCAGTCTTCGAGGAGGCGCCTTTCCCCTCTTGGAGTCTCTTTTGTTCTGTGGGAGGGGTTGTGTTCAGGGGTCCAGTACCTGAGTGCCCGGGTTCTCTATGTTGTATATGATCGCGCGTTGCGTCAAAACGCAGAGCTCGTTGGCCGAAGGCTTGTGGTGGCCCATTGATTCGAGTTGCAGGGTCATCATCATCATCATCATCATCAGCATCAGCATCAGCATCAGCATCAGCATCATCACCATCATCATCATCAGCAGCAGCATCATCATCATCATCATCATCATCATCATCATCACCATCATCATCATCATCATCACCATTATTCCCCCTGTCTCCTCCGTCCTCGTCGCGCTCCTTCTCCTTCCCCTTTCATCGCCCCCCCCCCCCCCCCGCGCTATCCTGATGCATCCCCCTTCGCTCTTCCGCATCGGCCTCCTCCCTGGTGAGATGTCCCCCGTCACCCTTCCTTTCCTTGTCCTCTGCGCAGACCAAAAGTTCCCTCGAAGAGACCAAAAGTTCCCCCGCGCTATCCTGATGCATCCCCTTCGCTCTTCCGCATCGGCCTCCTCCCTGGTGAGATGTCCCCCGTCATCCTTCCTTTCCTCGTCCTTTTGCGAAGACCAGAAGCTCCCTCGAAGAGAGCTGCGAGCAGCCAGTACCCCGAGCCGCTCGGTCCTCGCTCGCCGGCCCTCGATCCAGACACGTCGAGGAGTGGCCAAGATGTCCGACGAGGAGGAGGAGGAGGAGGAGGAGGAGGAGGAGGAGGAGGAGGAGGAGGGGGAGGAGGAGGAGGAGGGAGGAGGAGGAGGGGGGAGGAGGGGGGGGAGGAGGAGGAGGAGGAGGAGGAGGAGGGAGGAGGAGGAGGGGGGTAGGAGAGGGGGAGGAGGATGAGGAGGGAGGAGAGGAGAGGAGGAGGAGGAGGAGGAGGAGGAGGAGGAGGAGGAGGGGGAGGATGCGGAGGAGGATGTCAAGGGGCGTCGATCCAGCAGCGTCGGCCCTCGCTGCAGGCACGCCGACGCTGCGGGAAGTTGGTGCCCCTCGATTTTTCGGGCGAGGCCGGAGAATGCTGTTTTGTTTTGTTTGGTCCCAGGGATAGGGAGCCCACAAAGGACGTACGCGCCCAGCTATGTACATGAACACGGCCCCTCGATTCGCGAGACCGGCCGCGTTATACGAACATTTGTGCAATGCGTGCTCTCGAAACCAGCGTGGATTCATGTACATGTACGTCCTTCTTTCGCTCCTGAAGGGAGTCGCGCTCGACAGAGGAAGTAGGTACTCCAGATCTCGTAATAAAAGGGAGGGGGTCTGGACCCCCCAAGACAAGCCGTTTCAGACCCCCCCCGTGGGAGAACCCTCCAAAACATCGTCCCCAGACCCCTCCAGGCCCTCCAAGATAGCCTGGAAGAGACCCCCCCCGAAATGAGACCCCCTCCCTTCATTACGAAATCAGGAGTACCTTTTGTTGGGGAGGGTGCTCGAGACCCTTAGGGGTCACGTCGGTGTTCGGTCTTCGCTCGCGGACCATCGATCCATACATCGGCGGCGAGCGAGGGGGGGAAGTGAGAAGGAGAAGGCCTTCTCAGAAGGTTCGGGAGTTCCCCGGCCTTCTGAGAGGTTTTCTACGCCTTCCACGAAGACAGAAGATACTTCTCAGAAGGCGCGAGGGCTTCTGAGAAGTCCCGCCGCCTTCTGAGAAGGCCTTCTCCTTCTCAATTCCCCCCCTCGCTCGCCGCCAAACGTATCCGTAAGGGTTTCGCCTCCTGCCGCCGGCCCCGTCTTCGCCCAGGATGGGGCATAACAGGGTCGCGTCAGTGCGTCTCGGCGCCGCCTTGGCGCATCTGGGAACAGCAGGCGGGGGCGGATAGGAGGCATCAGCGCATGCTGACAGGTTGGCGTTCTCCTCGTGGCCCTCGGCCCATCCCGCCATCGTGCCTGGGTTGTGGATCTGAGGCCTCTTGTATAATTGTCAGAGTGTCGTGGGGAGCTTTTCGGGGGCCTCTTAGAGGCGGTTTGGGCGCCTCTTGGGACCTCGTGGGGTATCTTTTTTGTTTTTTGGAAGCATCTTGGGCGCGTTTTGGGCGCCTCTTGGGGCCTCTTGTAGGAGATCGTGGCCTCGGGGGCGCGAGCGTGGCGCGATTTGCAAGGAATCGCGGTTTCGGGGCGCAAGCGTGGCGTAATTTACGCGGGATCGTGGCCTCGGGGGCGCCAATGTGGTGTAATTTACGGGGGATCGTGGTCTCGGGGGCGCGAGGGCGGCGTAAGTTGCGAGGGATCGTAGCTACGGGGGCGCGACTGTGGCGTAGAATGTGGTGTAATTTTGGGGGATCGTGGCCTCAGGAGCGTGAGCGTGGCGTATCTTGAAAGGGATCGTGACGCTAGCCAAGGCACTTTTCGGCCCCCCCCCCTCGCGTCATTGACAACTTGCAGGAAGGATCAGAAAGCAATACTGTGGCATTGGAAACCTGAAGCTGGAACTGGCGCAGGGAGCAGCAAGCCTAGTCCTCGCAGCCTGATGGCCCCGCAAGGGGGCCGGCGGACTTTCGAGCCCACCCCCTGCAGGATCTTTTTCGCAGTCCCATCGGTCAAGTTTGATTTTCCAGGTCTGGTTGTTTCGGTCCGGTCCGACTCCGGACGCCGACGGCCTGGTACGGCCCGATTGCGGCCGACGGGTGGGCATCGCGGAGGCGAGGAGCTCCGCCTCCAAGGGTCCCCTCTCCGCCTCCTCGCCCTCCTCCTCGTCCTCCTCCTCCTCCTCCTCCTCCTCCTCCTCCTCCTCCTCCTCCTCCTGGTCCCTCTTCTGCTCCTGCTCCTGCTCCTTCCTCCTTCCTCCCTCCTTCCTCCTCCCCCTCCCTCGTTTCGAGCATGTCTCTGCTCGGGATTGCGGCGCGGCCGATCCTGCACTAGTTCGATTCCATGCCGACGCTCGGAAGGGGGAAATTGTACCCATGCCGCTACCCTTGCCCTTGGTATCGCTCGGACGTGTGCATTTTTCTTTCGGCGAGGACCATCGAGGAGCATCCTTGATCATTTGGCGAAAAAGCCACGCACGAAACCGCAGGGAATGGACGTCCGAGCGATGGCCAGTGCCTCGTTTTCTCTTCTTTGGGCCTCCTGGGAGGCCCTCGTCGCCACCGCTGGATTCACCCCGAGACCCTGGTCAGAACGCACCGCGGGAGAGGTCTCGGGAGTAGCGGTATCGGTACCTGTTGGTTCCCCCAGAGTCCGATTCCATGTCGATGCGGCCTGATCTTGCGAACGTTCCGACTCGATTTGGTTTCCCGATTCGATGCCGATTGATCGTGGGACCACGAGCGACGACCATAGCCATGCACGCGATGCCTTCGCGGTTTGGGCACCGATGCACGATCCCCTGTGATGCATTCCGCGCGCGGCGAACATTCCGACTCGATCTGATTTCCCGAATCGATTCCGACCGATCTTGCCCCGGGGGGGCGAGGCGCTCCGACGAAGGCATATATACACCACCACCCGTGCCAGGCCAGGGCCCCTGGCTGGAGTACAGACCCGTCTGGTATGCTCCATGCCAGGGCGAGGATGGCCCTGGCCTGGCACGGCGGCGGTGGGGTGTCGACCCGTTTTGCGTTGGGGCGGTCGGCCAGGAGAAGAAGCAGCAGGTGGCCGCCATCCATGCCAAGGCGGAGGCCATGCGCCTGGCCCGCCTGGGCGGCGGCGAGGCCCAGGGGGCGCCGACTCGCCGGGGTCGTCGTCGCCGTCGTCGTCGCCGCCATCTCGGTCGCCGTCGTCGTTGTCACCGCCGCCGTCGTCGACGTCGCCCCCCTCAGATCCAAGCGGCGAAAAAAACGCAACACCCGGCTGTTCTTGGTTCCCGGCCTCTATGGAGGCCGTTCCCGGCTCGGGGATGGTCAGGAAACCGTCCAGGGTGAAATGAGATCCAGGGGAGTCTGTGTGTGTGAAGACCTTTCTTCGCCTCCTCCTACCCATCTATCCTGCAATCCTTTCGGCTCAGGTATTCGACATCCTTTAGGATACATCGGCGCCCGCTTCTCATCGGGCGCGAGGATCAAAGATCTCCATCTTGTCCCCTCATCGTCCTCTACCCTCGGACCCCGCGGTAGGTTCGACCCTCTGGTCGTCAGCCTCCGTTCGCAGGTTATCCGCCGTCCCTACTTCGGTTTTCGTTGCGAAACCTCGCGCCGACAGTGAGCCCCGCCCATGTCACTGGACCCTCTCGGGACCCGTGGCTCCGCGCGCGGTGGACCGTGCGTGGGTTTCGCGACGACACGGAGAGGGCAGTTGGACAGGGAATGATACCGCAATCCCCCCTACCAGGGAAAGGCCGCGCCGCCCGCCTATAAGCTGAGTTTCGGCGTGCGCTGCAGGCACGATCCCGACAGGCACGTGTGGATACATCCCAGTTTTTCGTGCCGGGTGAAACCTGTGACGGCGCACCCATGCACCCCAGGAGTTGGACCAGGTTTCCAGTCGATTCCTCAGTCACATGGAGCCGACACGAGTTCGAGTATCTTGTTGATGGAAACACCTACGCTTCCATCCGCTCTTCCCGCCGGCGCAACACCGCCGGTGCGACACCGAGGCCCTCGAGCCCCGCTTCCGCCCCCCGCGTTTGAACGCGCAGGCCATCGAAGGTCGCAACGGAACGACCTTTCAGAGAAGAGTCTCCGACCGGTGCCATCTCCAGCTTCGGCGAGGGGATGTCAGCCCCCGCCCGCGCCCACCTCCGCAAAAGAGGTGGCAGAGCTCAGAGACCAGGTTGGAATTTATACGACCCAGCAAGTGTCGGGTCATGCTGCAGCAGTCGCAGATAACGCGACCCAGACAGCAACCCTGTGGCAAGAAATGCAACGCGCTCTTGCCCTGGTCGTCGTTCGGATCGCCGAGGGTCGATCGATCCCCAGCGAGGTCCAGTATCAATTCGACCGTGTAAAGTCGCGCCGAGGTGCCGACCCCACTGCAATCCAGACGCTCCGCGACCACCTCCTTGCCATGGAGGCGCAGCGCGCGAGCGCCAGGATTGCGGGCGCTGCCGCCGCCGGGACCTTTTACGATGAGGACCGGACTTCGCTGCAGGCTCCTGCCGCTGAGGTACCAGGTACGACGGATCCACAGCTCCGCGATGGCACTGCGCTGCGTGATCGCGTTGATGTGACCGCTGCCAACCTCCACCCCGCGAGTGCAACAACCACGCCCGAACTGCACGGGAAGCTACGCACTGCCGAGATGGATGTTACTCAACGTTTTGACGCGTCAGAGGGACGCGCGCAAGCGTTTGAGAACCGAGTATCCACGGTCGAGCAGCAGTTACCTGACACGCAGACCGCGCTGGCTGAGTTGCGCGATGTACGGACCCAGACTGGCCAGCTGGCACCCCGCCTTCGGTTTACGATTTCGCCCCCCTCGTCGCCGAGGCGGCCGAGGCAAGGCAGGCGTGTGGCCGCGCGCAGTCACGACTCACCCAAATCCCCCAAGAAACAGACGCTGAAAAGGCACGGGCCGAGGCGTTCCTCGCCCGTTGGGAACATGAGCGCGAAGCACACAACCAATGGTTCCAGGATTCAGAGTATCGGTTGGACCGGTACTCCCAGCGAACTGATGACACCACAGACGACGTCAGCGGTCTTCGACAGATCGCTGAGAAGCGCGAGAGCAATCTCGCGGCCAACGAAGCTACCATGACGGCTCACGGTAGCGACCGCGCGATCCATTTTCGTTCACCACCTCCAGCAGACATTTCTGATTCTGCCCAACCTTTTAAGCCGATGGAAACATCCGCGCGGGACAACCGCGACACACTTCACCAGGAGCGGCCTCAGCAGCATAATCTGCACAGACGCGTCGCGTCGTTCTTGCGCGTGCCCCATCGCCGGCGCCGCCGATGCAGTCGTATAGTATTTTCCCGTATTCCATTGGTGGCACTACTCCGATCAAGACAGCAGACACCGCTCGCATTCCGCAGCTGCCGCGGATTACGTACAATGGCGGCGACAAATGGCCATGGAGACTGCGGCAGTGTTTCGGGGTGTTTGGCGAAAGCCGCGTTGCTGAATAGCCTGACACTACATTTGAGGATCTTCAAGACAGCGGAGATTTTGAAAGCATCGACTGCAAACTGGCCGCCAGCCTCACCACAATTCTCGCCACAGAACTTCGTTACCGCACGAAGAACTTCAAAGTTCAGGAACACGACGCCGGCCTCCTGCTGAAAGGAAGTCCTGTCGATTGGGTCTTTCTACAGTCCGACAAGGTCACTGACTGACGTCGATAACACCACGCGGGCCATGCATGACTTCGAACGTCTTCAATTCATACGAATATACTCAACGCTTCAGTGTGGACTGGGATAACTTAGTCTTTGAATGCCGTGACCCACTGGGGACGAATATTATTGCGTCGCTGTTTCAGGCACAAATTCGTAGACATCCATGGAGGAAGCAAGACATGCGCGACTACAACAAAATAGAGACGGGTGATCCATATCGCACATATATGATTGACTTCGTGGGTGTGTCTTCGCCAACATTAAGGTGCGCTGATTCGAGCGGAACCAAAGCAACCTTCAGAACGAGACGAGTCGTCACGAATGGGTCGGGCTCACAGCCCACAGCACAGGTCGTTGTTAGATCGGTGAATATGTAAACTACTACAGTCAACCCGCGTAGCAAGGATGGGCAACCTTCCCAAGGCTACCCTTGCAGCCTTGCCGTCGCGGCCCATCCTTCGCCACGTTCGTTGGCCGCGCCCCGTTCGAAGATCTTCGAATTGGGCGTCCAAGGCCCTTGCATCTTCATCGCGCATCCTTACTGCACGGGTTGATTGTGCACGCGGGATCTGGCAACCGCTCTACACCGAGACTCAGACTCCCCAGGCGCACATCGCAGGCCTGCAGAGATGCCCGCGAGAGACGCCCCTCCCAGGGACGTGGCCCGTCCCAGCCACCCACCAGTGGAGGTGCCAGCAACTTCTGTTTCTCTTTCGCGAAGGATGGCGCTTGTCCCCTACTCGACCGGCGCAGAAGGCCTCACGTCGTCGCCAAGTGCAGTTTCTTCGCCGACCCCAACTGGACTTGCACGATGGGCGGGAACTGCCGACCGATTCGCCCACACCACGAGTGGCACCGAGACACCCGAGGGGAGCCCCAGCCGCACTTACAGTCAGGACAGCCGCAACAGGACGCCTTCCCCCGGACGCGCGGGGGGCAATCGATACTTCCGCGCAGGGGGCGTCAGAGTCCGGGGGGGTCGCGCCGGTCACGCTGCGGATCGGGGGGGGCGACAGGGTGTTCGCAGTCTGGAAGGGCCTGTTGTTTGGGCCTCCTGGGGGGGGTGGGGCGGCTCGTCGTCGCCGCCGCGGGATCACTCTCGATTTTCTGGTCGGGCGTCGTCGTGACTTGGGAAGAGTTGGAGGAGGAGGAAAAGGAGGAGGAGGAGGAGGAGGGGGAGGAGGAGGAGGAGGAGGAGGAGGAGGCGGAGGCGGAGGAGGAGGAGGAGGAGGAGGAGGCGGAGGCGGAGGCGGAGGCGGAGGCGGAGTAGGAGGAGGAGGAGGAGGAGGAGGAGGAGGAGGAGGAGGAGGAGGAAAAGGAGGAAGAAAGGGAAAGAGGAGGAGGAGCGGACGAGCAGACGAGGGCAACGAGGAGGGAGGGAGGCGCGAGAAGGGAGATGAGGGAACGGGAAGGAATAGGACGAGAAGGTGGGGCGAGCGCGAGGAGGAAGGAGCGGGATCATTTTCGAGTGCGGCGGATGGTCGCTGCGAAGGGCGTCAGAAAAGACGCGGAGGCCGAGAGGGAGGTGCAGGCAGGAGGTGCGAGAGGAAGGAGATGGGAGGAGGGAGAAATGAGGGAGGGAGGAGGGAGAAATGGGAGGAGGGCGCTGGGAGGAGGGAGAAACGAGCGGGGAGAAGCGAGAGAGAGGTCGGAATGGGGGCGAGGAGGACGGGGGTCGGCAGGGAGGAGGGGGGGGGCGGTTTTCGAGGCGGGGGGCCATGGAACGGCAGGGGAGGGGGAGGGAAGCACGGGGAGGAGGGCGAAGGAAGGAGGGGGGGGGAAGGGAAGGACGGGGAGGGAAGGCATGGGGAGTGTGAGGGAATGCAGAGGGAGGGGGAGGGAAGGAGAGGGAGGGAGGGAGGGGGAGGGAAGGCATGGGATGGGGAGGGAAGGGAGCAGGGTGAAGGGGAACGGGGGCGTGGGTGCACGGGGAGGACGAGGAAGAGGATCGACGCCTTTCGGGCCGGCATCTTTACCCTGGCCGCCATTGCCATTCTTGACCCGCTGCGCACGTTCGACTTGAATGGTTGGCCGTTCGGCCTGAGTCGGCATCTTCACGCGATTCTTGTTCGTCCCACCGAGCGCTACAGCACAATGGCTTGAGTCTGCACCACGTAAGAACAGATGATCGACGACCAAGGTTTTTGTCAGTCCTTCTGAGTTTGCGGGATGTACGGTCTCCGGAGACCTCGGGGCGGGGAACCTCCTGCCGCTTTTCCTCCAGATGGGGAAGTGGGAGGGGTGCACAGGTTGAAGAGGGAGGCAGGAGCAGGAGAGGGGTGGGACAAGGGACGGGAGAAGGAGGACGGCGGGAGGAGGACGAGGACGCGAATCGACTCTGGCGAAGCGACTTGTGAGAAGAGGCGGCAGGAGGAGGGGGAGGAGGAGGATGGGAGAAGATGAGGGGCGCTGGTCGCGCTGCTGGGGCCGTGCCCCACCGACGAGGAGGAGGAGGACGAGGAGGAGGAGGAGGAGGAGGAGGAGGAGGAGGAGGAGGACGCTGCGCCGTTGCCGCGTTGGCGGGAGCTTGCCCCCCGCGCGTCGGGAGAGAGCCCCCAAACAAGCGCCCACGCGCAGGCTCGACCAAACAACTGAAGCACAACGCCTTGCTGAGCAACTTGGGGCCCGAGGGCCAGGCACGACCCCGCTCCTGCGGCGGCGCCCACGCGGGCGGGCGCGCACCCCGGGCAGCTCTGCGGCCAGCCCCTCTGCAGCAGGGCGCACCACGCCTTCCGCTGCGCCAGCGGAGGAGGCACGAAGGCGCGCAGCCGGGCTGTCAGAGACGTCTGGGAGCGCATTCGCGCTGAGTGCGGCTTCCAGACAGCGCACCAGGTCCACGTCCCGGCCTGGGACCGCTGGCGCGGGACGTGCGCGGCGCCCGGCTGCGCGGCGCGCGGCCACGCCGACGCCCCGCCTGCGGGGCCCTGCCAGGCATGCTGGACCGCGCTGCTGGGTCTCCGCGACGAGGCGCTGCTCGACCTGCAGGCCCAAAGGGCAGGCTGCCCGCAGCTGCTCGCGGACGTGACTGTCCGGGCCGCTACAGCGCGCCAAGCGAAGCCGACGCCCTGGCCGAGGCGGCAGGCGCGGACGGCGCCGTGGCGCGGCAGGGGAGAGCGACAAGAGAAGCCCTTGCCCCGCCAGCCGCGCCCCCTTGAGGGCGCTGCTGCTCAGCCCGGAAACGGCTGGGCGCCGCGGGCCAGCGGCGCTGAAGCACCTGCGTTGGCTCGCGCGCCGCCGCGCCCAGCTTGGCGGCGACGGGCCTGCGGCCGACGCCGCGGCCAGCGCCCTCGCCGCGCGCTGGGGCGCGGAGCTCAGCGCGGCGATGCGCAAGGCCGCAGCGCGCCAGCTGCGGACCGCCCTCGGGCGCGAAGCGGCGCGGGCCTCAGCGGATGCGCTGGCCGACGACCTGGCGCGTTTGGAACCAGGCCGGGCCCGGGCGCCGGGCGGCGGCGTCGCGCGCCTACCAAGTCGTCGCAGTGCTCTACGTCATCGTCGCGCTGCTTCTGCTGAACAGGGGGGGCTCGTGTGTCGAGACGGTTTTCTCGGCCTTTGTGGGAGGAGGAGGAGGAGGAGGAGGAGGACCACTGTAAACCCAAGAGTCATCAGCGATGTTAAAGGAAACCCTTCCTCCAAGCTCCCTCTTCAGAGGCCCCATGCAACGGTTCATTTCCACTGAGGGAATTGCCTCGATGGAAGACGCCCGTTTGAAGACCCTGAAGCGTGCCAGAATATTGTTTTCGGTTGTTCCAAAGCCACGGGTCAACCTGATTTTTGCGTACTGGCGATCCTGAGTCGTGGCAGAACGCCATTCTTTGGACTTCAACACAGAGAACCAAGGTAACTGCTGCACCTGTGTAAGCCCGAATCCTTCCAAACACCATTTCTGGTACGTTGATGATGAGAACCAGTAGAATTCTCGAAACTTGTGTAAATAAATGCGCGCGGCGCTGAGGTGAACACCGCCAACCTGTGAAGCTTTTGCATTGAGTTCCGAGTGTGCGCCGCGCTAAGGCGAGTCACGTTTTGGAAATGACCCGCTTTTCAAAATGCGAAACCTTTTTTTGTTGTAACATGTTCGAAGGAATTCGCGCCGCGTTGAAGCGAAAGCCGCACGGTGAAAACCACCCACCCTCAATCCGCGAAGCCATTTGCAAGTTTTTAGAACGAATGTGCGCCGCGCTAAAGCGAAGACCACATGTTGAAAACCACCCGCCTTCAATCCATAAAAACTCCAGCATGTTTTTAAAAACGAACGTGCGCCTCGCTAGAACGACAGCCACATGTTGAAAACGGTTTGCCCTCCATCTGCGAAGCTGCTGCCAAATTTGAGGCTCACAAGTCTGAGGCGAAACGCCCGGCCCGCCCTAAAAACTGGTTTCGGGGTGCGATCTGGACAAATTATTTATAACGAAAAGGAATGGAGGTGAACGAGGAGGAGGAAGAGAAGAAGGAGGAGGAGGAGGAGGAGGAGGAGGAGGAGGGGGAAGGTGAAAGAAAAGGAGGACGAGGAGGAGGCGGAGACGGAGGCGGAGGCGGAAGGTGGAGGCGGAGAAGGCGGAGGAGAGGGAATCTGAGCTTCCGCCGCTGTTCGGCTCCAGAGGGGAGCGCTTCCAACCTCCAAGCCTTCGCCTGCCCGTCAGGCCACCGCCGCCCCAGGGAGGGGACAGACTTGCGCGGACGGGAGGGGGCCTTTTTCCCCGCCCTAAAGGATGCCAGCGGCACACCTGTTCCGACCATGGGGTGCCGGACGGGGCCTGGCTGGGATGATGTACGGTCAGGAATTGGGGCTCCGCGTGTCGCTCCGCGTCCGCCCCGACCCGCTTCGGTGCGGCACGCTGTCCACTTCCTGGGCCCCCCCGGCGTCAGCGCCCCGAGCGTTTCCGAGCCTCCGGCCCCGCGCAGCGGAGCGACGCGAAATGCGCCCGCAGGGCACAGCGTGTCGCCGGGGCCGCTGCCGCCCCGCGCGGTGCAAGCATTCCAGACCGCGCGCGGGCGCGCAGGCGTAGAGCTGGCGCCCTCGGACCTCCACGTTCCCCTGCCTCCACGGGCGGCCGCCCCCGTTCGCCCTGCCCCGAGCAACGCCCATCGAAAGCTGGTCCAATGATCCTGCCGGGGCCCCTTCCAGCCCATCTGGCGGTGTTCCGAGCTGTGTCGAGCCGCGGCGGCGAGGGTGGCCCCCGCACGATGCGTCCTCCTTGCCCGCCGGTTCTCAGAGATCCCCGAGTCCTCTTCACCAGAGCTTGTTCCCATGCTGCCCTCGTGTTTGGTAGGGGGCCCCAGCCCTCCATCCCTCCTCCCCTCCAGCCCTTTCCCCCCTCCCTTCTTTCCTCCGCCCCCCAGCCCTCCCTCCTCCCCCAGCCTCCCCTTGCCCCCCCCCCCCCTCTCCGTTCCCCGCAGTCGCACACGGACCCCCGGCGGACCCCAGCGGGGCCCGCATCCCGATCGTGGGCAGCCAGCCCTGCCTGGCCCTATGTTGGGCGGGGGGCGGGCCTGCCACGGCCGCGAACAGATCCCTCCTCTGGTCCCGACCCTGCTCGTCCCGCGGGCTCCTCCTCAGACCCCCCGATGCCGGCTGGAGGGCCTTCTGACGCCGTCGGTGCTCGGCCTGCAGGTGCCGCCTGCGCGAGGCAAAGGCCCACCAAGGGGGCCGAGCGCAGTTTCCTGTCTGGGGGTGGGTGGCAGGCACACGTCAACGCAAGGCATGGGGTCGCGGCGTGGCCGCCAGCCCTGCGGGGGCGCGCGGCGCCCCGACCCCCCGGCGCAGGTCTCTCCCCTGCCCCCCGGGCACTCCTCCGCAGCCTTTCGGGGCGCGCAGCCTCGGCGCCAACATGCCGGAGTGCTTCAACTGCGGCGGCGACCACTACGCGCGGGACCCATCAGAGTCAAGGGAGGAAAAGCCACCCGGACCAGACAACTGGCGTTTCCTAAGCACGGCCCTGGGCGTTTACGAAACAGCCCTGCACGGTTCGATTCCGTCTCTGGGCGCGTTTGCTGAACGGCCTCGCGTGTCGGGGTGGTTCTTATGGGGATGGATTTTCTGCCCACTGCAGAGGAGGAAGCACCCTGTTCGATTCCTTCACTACACGGCCTCGCGTGTCGGGGTGGTTATTATGGGGGTGGATGCTCTGCCCTCTGCAGAGGAGGAGAGGCAGTGCCGATGCTTGGTGCCCGTCCCTCATCGCCACAGCTGGATCGCGGCACCGCCCAGCCATGCTTCTGCTATATATATATATATATGCGTCGGCCACGCCAGGGCGGTGGTTATTAGGGGGGAGAATACGGCCTCGCGTGTCGGGGTGGTTATTCTGGGGGGGGGATGTTCTGCCCTCTGCAGAGGAGGAGAGGCAGTGCCGATGCTTGGTGCCCGTCCCTCGCCACGGCACCGCCCAGCCACGCTTCTGCAGTATGTGCGCGTCGTCCACGCCAGGGCGGCGCGCAAGCGCAGGCATCTCACGGCATGAGCCCTGCGGCGGCCGTTCTCTGGGTACATGCCGCTCGGCAAACGATCTACTAGAAGTAAGTCGGGCCTGTCCCTCCACAGGGGGAATATCCAAACACAGTTAGAAGATAGTTCGGGAGACGATCTGATTGTTTCTTGAGCATTTTTGGAGCATCTTTTGGGTCTTTTCCAATGTTTCGCCCAAACCCGCCTGTAGGGGGACAGGCCCGACCTAAGGCGATACCGCTCGGTAAACGATCTAGTCGGGCCTGTCCCTCGACAGGGGGTAGTTTCAAGCATAGCTTAAATATAGTTCGGGGGACGATCTGACTATTTTAGAGCAGCTGTGGAGCATGTTGGGGATATGTTCCTTTCTCGCCCTAAACCCGCCTGCAGTGGGACAGGCCCGACCTAAGGTTTTACCACTCGGTTAACGATCTACTAGAAGAATTTGTGGTACTCATTCGGGTCGGACGTGCGCCTGCGAGGAGGGTGCACAGTACCAGTAGATGTTTCTGCGTCCCTGGATCCAAGGGAAGAAAAACCACCCAGATCCGCTAATCGGCGTTTACTAAACGGCCCTGGGCGTTTACGAAACAGCCCTGCCCTGTTCGATTCCTTCTTTGAGCGCGTTTACTGAACGACTTCGCGTGTCGGGGTGGTTATTGTAGGGGTGGATTTTTGGTCCTCTAGTATATGCTTCTGCGTCCCAGGATTCGCCTCGAAATCCAAATCAGAACCTGCGTCACCCCCAAGGGCGCGAAGGCAAGCTCGCCGCGCGGGCCGGGCCCTGGGCCGCGATCTTTGCGGCTACGGGGTGCTTTTGTTCGCGGATGCCCCGCGCAGAACGTACCCATGCGACCGCGTATCCGCGGGGTCGCGTCCTGGATTCCAGACCGCGAGGGCGCGGCTACGGGTACGCTCGCCGCTCATGGGACACCGCTGCCGGTCCTTCGTCGCCCTGGCTGGGTTCGCTTCGAAGTCCTGGTCAGAACCCAGGTCACCTCCAGGTGCGGGTGGGCTGTGGAAAGGAGATGGTGCTGGAGGAGGGGACGGGAGGGAAAAGGTGGAGGAGGAGGAGGAGGGATGAGGACGAGGATGAGAATGAGGATGAGGAGGAAGAGGAGGAGGAGGAGGAGGAGAAGGAGGAGGAGGAGGGGGATCGGGAGGAGGAGGAAGAGAATGAGGAGGAGGTTTGCGGAGGAGGTAAGGGAAGGTTCCACTGAGACCGATGCTTCAACGATCTGGGGAGAGACTTGGGGTGCCCCCTGCAAGACTTGTCCTCGGCACTCCACTGGGTGTTTTTCGGCATGCGTCAGACGAGGGTCACCTTCCAGGGGCGAGGAGGAGGAGGAGGAGGAGGAGAAGAAGAAGGATGTGGGCGGAGGATGAGTAGGAGGAGGAGGAGGAGGAAGAGGAGGAGGAGGAGGATGGAGCACGGAGGATGGAGGATGGAGGATGGAGGAGGAGGAAGAGGAGGAGGCGGAGGAGGAGGAGGATAGGATGGGGGGGAGGATGGGGGAGGAGGAGAAAGAGGGGGCGGATGAGGACGAGGGGGCGGAGGAGGAGGAGGAGGAGGAAGAGGAGGAGGGGGAGGGGGATGAAAAGGAAGAGGAGGAGTACGACGAGGAGGACGAGCAGAAGGAGGGGGAGGAGGAGGACCAGTGGAAACCCACAAGTTATCAACGATGTTGGAATAAACCCTCCCAAGCTTCCTCTTCATATGCACCTAAAACGGATCATTTCCACTGGGGGAATTGCCCCGGAGGAACACAACCATTTGAAGATCCTGAAGCATGCCGCAACAAGGCTCTCGGGATTCCAACGCCACGGAACAACAGGACTTGTTGCGTCTTGCCGATTCTGAATTTTGCCAGAACAGCACGCTTGAGAATTCAACGCAGCGAATCAACGTAATTGTTGCACCCTCATAATCTGGAATCCTTCCAGCAGGCACAATCTTTGGTACGGTGATCATGGGCATCCGTGAAACTCTTGCAGACGTTGAAAACGAATGTGGGCGGCGCTAAGGCGAGAGCCACCTGTTGGAACGGACCGCCCCCAATCCGTGAAACCGTCGTAAAGTTTTCAACGAATGTGCGCGGCGCCAAGGCGATAGCCCCGTGTTGAAAACCACCCGCCCTCAACCCGTGAAGCAGTTGCACATGTCACAAGCGAATGTGCGCGGCGTTAAGGCGGGAATCACATGTTGAAAACGATTCGCCCTCAATCCATGAAGCTCTTGCGAATGCTTACAGATAATGTGCGCGGCGCAAAGGCGAGAGCAACATTTTGAAAACCACCCGCCCTCAACCCGTGCAACTCTCGCACATTTCACAAGCGAATGCGCGCGGCGCTAAGGTGGGAACCACATTTTGAAAACGACCCGCCCT